GCACACCGCGCTGCCCCTGTGGGCTGCTCCCTGCCGCTGCTTCACACAGGCGCCGCCACCGCCGCGGCCACGGCAAGAAGCACAAGAGGGCCGAGGCCAGCAGCAGCAGCCACGCTGCCGTCACCTTTCAGCAGACTCGCATCCACCTGGCTCTGCACATCGGCGGTGCTGCTGAAACCACCCAAACCCTTCTTATCACGGAAAGCATTTGTGCCTTGCTCCACCGTGCGAGTCCCCGTGACAACAGATTCTGGTGAATGCAAAGGCGAGGATTTGGGGACAGCAGAGCCGGTGATTCCCGTATCCTCATGTGCATCAACACTCGAACTGTCGCCCTTGCTCTTCGCTTGAACAATGTAGTTGCCCCGCGAACTCTGTGCGGAAGCCATTTCAGAAGCAGAATTGAAATCACTTGTGTCGCTCTTTACCTCTTTATCCCCGCCGAGAGCAGGTCTTGCTTCACGTCGCTCTGAAGATTTGTGGCCAGTAGAGCTGCTCAGCTCTCCGCTCATCGCTTGGTCGCCGTTTCTCAACGTCTCCGACGGTCCAACATCAGGGGCGGCACCCCTGCTGCTGGGGACAAAGGGGCACACCTCCTCGTACTTGGGGCACTCAATGCCTCCAGTCATGATTGAGTTCTTCGGCCTCAGTAAGCTTCCCGCAGGGCACACGCGCCACTCTTCCTCCTTGACAAACTTCACGCTCACTGTGCCATTGTTGCACTGGGTGTCCACGCAGACATCACCGATAGGAATGTGGTAATATCGAAGAACCCTGCCCTTCACACAACGTGAGTTGGGGCCGATGTAGCTTCCAGGCATTTCCAAAGGATTTCCGTTCGTACACCCCATGTGATCGAAGTTGACAACATGAGGGCAAAGGTCCATCAGGTCCAAATCACCACCCTTTGAAGGATCCATGAAGTACCGGTATTGTGGTGGTAATCTGGGACCGTGCCTGTACATTCCACAGAACCCGAGAAACATACGATCAAACGTGCATACTGGCTGATATATGAATGTGGGCTCGTCACAGAACATATCTGGATAAGCAGTGACACCATTCACCAAACATTTCTCTTCCAACAGCTTGCAGCCCGAGTTGTGGCCCCACCTCATATGCTCCTCCATTCCCCAACGAGCCTTGTAAAACATCATGTCCTCGAACGCTGCCATTGTTAGCGCAGTGTAATAACTCGCACCCGAAACACCAGACATCAGCTCATCTCTCGCGTTGCGCCGCTCCCAGTGGGAACCACTTGTGCCGTAATTTCCCTCGTCCTCCAGCTCCATGCCTTCAATAGTACTGCAGTTGTAGTGCCTCTGCGCCATCTCCTTCGTTTTTGGTGACGACACCACCAGCACGGAGCTTTTACCGCGCACGTCTTTGACGGTCGCCACCATACCGAGGCCATGCATCTCTGGGTACCCAAAACCAAGAGCATGCGCAATCTCGTGGGCAACCATACGGACACCCACATCCGTCGCCACAGCACTCCGGGGATCAATGTTCACGACACCAACGAATGGTCGCTTGCTTCCCAGCAAAGCACACAAGAGAGCCCATGCGGCACCCCCATTGATCGGCCCTGCGGCAGCGTACATAATCATGTCGGCACCAGACACACCACTGGTGCCGTGACCCTTGGGGACCGTGAAGTGGGAGCACACGCTTCCCTTCAACGGTTCCACAACAACGCTGGTCGTCACAGGTTTTACGGAGAGACGATCGGTGTGAAGTTTTACCGCTGCGGGGATAGTTTGTTCCACAAGGAGCTTTCTCTTCTCATCTGTCAGTATGTTTTCGGATTCACAAACCAGCGTACCACCCATGAAGTCCGGACGCACATCTCCTACTCTTGTGCAGTACTTGGCCGGATTGTTCATGTCCTCCGTGGACACATTGATGCGGATCGGCGCCCAAGTCTTCTCCCCACCGGAAAGGGTGTACGCCTGCCATCCGCTCTGGTCCTTGTGCGGCACCTCACGCACAACTGCAAGCGGCTGTGCGCCGTCCTTCCTCCTTATCTCGTCGAACATGCATTGGCGCGACTCGGCGGCGAGGCACCCGCTGGCACACCAGAGCAGCAGGGTGGCGTAGATGACTCAACGCACCATGGCGTGCATATGTTTGACATGTTTCGTCTGCTTATTTTATATTTTGCCTTTTTTTGTGTATAACGGGGAAGAAGGGGTGGAGTACGAGCCATTTGAATAATCTTCCAATAAGCAGCCAATGTGAGAGGCCCATTGCGAAAAAAAAACCCAGCGCCCCTCGAAAGAGACTGTGGCATCACTTAAAAGTTCTTCCCTTACTGTGCTGCAACACACAGATATCCGGGAAAGAATCCTTTCGCAGAGCATCCATTCTCGCGCCCCAGAGTCGTAGACACACGGACACAGACACACGCACACAGAGTGGCGGCTCTCACTGAAACGAGACCAGCGGTGTGGGGAGTGCAAACCAGAGCACTGGTGGGAGCTGCGGAACAAAAAGTGCCCGCCGCCCTCCCTCACCGCAACAGAACGGTTATACCCATTCCGCAAACGCAAAAAAAAATATCTTTCTCTGTGTGTCTGTTTCAAAGGGTGAACTGTGTACGTGTCTGAGTGTGTGTAACGTCAACACGCGGGGACGGTGGCACACAGAGCATTCCCCATGCCCGTCTGTGCAAAAACAATTGATCCCATGCAAGACACGGATGTGAAACTGTTCCCATCAGATTTCTCACTTGCTGCCAGAGAAAGCGCAAGCTCTGTTCGTCTTCCGCTCCGTTGAGTCAACGAGGCGGACCATGGCGTTGTCCGTGAGCTCAGCAGAAAGCAGCCTTCTTGGGACACATCACAGCGGAGACCCCGGGTATGAAGGACTGCGTTGCCGTTACTGTTGTTGTTTATCCCATACTCAGTTGCCGTTGCAGGCAGTTGTGAAACTTCCTCTGCTGTACGATTCCAGCCCCGCCGCGCACGCAGTGAGCCTGCCTCCAGCGCACCAATGTTTGTTAGCATGGCTGTTCCGCCCGTATCCACCATTCCAATCGTACCAAAGTCCCAGCGACAGTGCCGCATGTCACATGCCGGGTACGAGGTTGGCGTGCAGAAGCTGCCGGCAACAACGGCCTGACGAGCTTCATCTGCCAGCAACACGCGACCCCGTTTCCTCGGTTCAGCTGACGAAGTCAAAGCTTTGCGCAGGTCCGTCACCACAACCGTACCCATGTGGTTACCCAAGCCACACACAACGCGGAAGCTGTCTTCCAGTGCGCAGCAGGACATAACACCCGCATGCACTACGGAGGCCCCGCGGCGCCCGCGCACCGGTCGGCTGCGTGACGGCGGCTGCGGCGTAGACGTGCGCATCAGCGGCCCCGCACTCGGATCGCGCCAGTCAAACAAAGACACATCTCCCGAAGAGAAGCCAACAACAACTGCGTGCGGCCCCCAGGAGTCCAGGGCGGTCGCATTGACAGCGGTACTGTCAAAGAAAACTGAACACGTCTTCTCCAGCGGCTCTAGCTGAAGCTGATACAAGGCGTCGCTTGCCAGTACCGAGGCAGCCGGCTCAAAGTCACTATGGCGTCGTATCCGTTGCAATGGCTCATTGTCGTCATCTGAAACTAACACCGTCGAGTGAAGGAGCCGCCAAGAAGAGGTACTCAAAGGAACTAAACGTGCATCTTCGCCTGAATCCACGTCCACTGCTTCACTACGACACGTGCCAGACGATGAACCACTTGCCGAGTGAAGACTTAGTTGTATTCCATCCTCATTCGCACGTAATAGAGGAGCCACCGGAGCGAACGGTTTCGCGTCCCGCAACTCCGCCCGCTCACCATTGATTTGAAGTGCCAAAAGCCTCCCATCGGGTAACGTGGACGCCGACAACAGGCATGCATCACGACTGTGACTGCTGTCAATGCTGCTGTTGTGTTCATTGAAAATAAAAGAGGCGTGACGACACGACGGCCGTGCCGTCAGGCGTGTCGGCGCTCCTGCTGGTGCCATTGAATTCTCCGGTGACGTGAGACCATGCAGTGCATAACTGAGACGCCACATTCACCCTGACTCGATCAACACCTGCTGCGTGCCTAATATATATATATATATATATAAGAATAGAGATAATAAACAAGGGGGGGAAAAAAGGAACGATAGAAACGGTGAACCAAAAAATAAAAATAAAAATATGACAAATATCCAACAAAAAAAAGGCACCATCCCTCAATCGAACAAATGACAGCACAATCATCAACAACAAAAACTGTTCAGTACACACTACTGTACCATATTTCTTTCCTTATTACAAATAACCATACCTCTGTGAAGGAGCGACTGCTCGTCGTGTATAATAATACAGTATCCCTCCCTGTATGTATGTTTGATTGTGTGGGGACGCGGTGAACATTCCCATGTGCACTGCGTGAGGGTGAAGAGCAACAAACAGAAGCAATGCCTACATCACAACCATGATACCACGTGGCTCATTTGCCTCCGTCTTCTTTCGTGCCTGGGGACTGCGAGCGTACATTCGTCTCTTCTTCTCTTCCGGGCTCGCAGGAGTCTCAAGCTTGCGGCGACCCCGCCCTCTACCTCTACCGCACATGCTGCCGACGTCAGCGCCCTCGTGCTCTTCCGTCCACGAGCGTATGTCTGCGAAGTGAACACAGATGCTGTACACATCCAGCAGCTCCTTCGTGCGCCGCGGGGCGAACTGCTTCGCGAGGCGCAGCACCACCTCGCGTAGGAGGTCACGGTCGTTGGTGCGCGTGCCTAAGTCCTCATACTCCTCTGTGACCCAGAACACACGCGGGACTGTGCGCCGCGTCTCTAGTGAGACACGGCCACACACAAAGTCGTGCATGATAAGATCCTTGTAAACCGTATCGAAGATTGTCATGACAGTGCCAATGAACTGCTCCTCTGGGACGACGCGACCGTACTGAGACTCGCGGCGGATTTGAGCCGTCTTGCACCGCGAGGCCTTCCGCAGCAACGTTGTAGCAATCTCCCCCCGTAGCCGCATCGTGCCATAGGCAATAGAGAGAAAGTACTCTGTCGTTGCAGGACACAGGCTGTAGCCCAAGCGCTCTTCCTGTTCAGCGATCTCACCGCACTTTGTAATGCCGTACACGTCCTTCAGCAGCTTCACCTGTGCTGCACCCACAACAGGAATAGCGCTTACTGGCAAATCTGCCATAAATTTTTCAAGCGACTCATGAGTTGGAAGGCTGTACTGGTTGATGTACACGATGCCGCCTGTCAAGAAATCTTTAGATTTCAGAGTGTGTTCCCTCTGGCCCGCGTCACACGCCATTTTGGCGAGAATGGGTGTGGAGGATATGCCACACCAAGCCCCGACGCAAAGCTCCTTCGACAGGACACAACTCAGTTTCTCTGCCACCTCCAGCTCTGACTGCAGATGCGGCTCCTGCTGCTGCATGAGTGGCGTCACTTCCAACGACAACTCCAGTGGCCACTGATCGTCCGTCACGATGAACCGCGTGTATGTCCGCAGTACTGCTTTGATCCGCTGAAGACACTCTGGCGTAATGTCCTTTGCGGCCCCTCTACCGTTCACAGGCCCTTCCAGCGAAAAGAAACGGAAGTGAAGAACTTTTCCCAGCGGCTGAACGCTGCAGCGGTATTTCATTCGCCGAAGGCGACGGCAGACGTCCATTCGCTTCCGCGTGGGTGAGAACACAATCGTCTTATCCTTCGCCAGAATGTTGGAGATGATGTCCGGTGGAATTGTCTCCATGGCGTGCAGTGGTAGCGCCAGCTTCTTTATGTCGACTGGGTCGAGCTCCATGTCGATGTCGACATTTTTCCACTCCTCGTCTTCATTATCCTCCACCGCATTGACTTCCTGGCGTTTCGCATGTCCATTTTGTTTACACGGCTGACTTTGAGCAGAATGAGGGCAGTCTCCACGCAAGCGCGAGGCGTTCGAGAGACACGTCAACTGCAGCGCGCCCCGCCGAAGTGTGCGGTACGGCAGGGCCAATCGTCGGCTTCCGCTCAACGCCATCATGACAGATGGGCCAAGTCGAACATAGGACCTAAAGAGCATGCCACACACTCACATATATATATTTATAGTTTTATAGGTGTATACTACAAATGAGCAATTACACAAAGCAGCAGCAGCGACGGCGAAAAATAACTAAGAAAGAGTATTTTTTGTTTTGTTTGAAGGGTGGCAAACCTTTTAATCGCACTTGCAAAATTTTTCCTCCTTAAACGACGCCACAGTGTGCTGCTTCCGCCTCCGTCTCTTTTGTACGATACAACACACCAGGCAACAGTCGACGCCTCTTGCCCAATGAATCCCTCACTGTATGTATGCTTCTATGGAGTGGGTACATGATACAACCAGAAATAGCAGCAGCAAAAAAAAACAGAGAGATGAAATAAGTCGTCCAAACAGACGAGGGAATGATGAACACATGAACGCCACGATGAGGGAAAGAGAAACACCCACCCCCCAAAAAACAAAAAAAAAAATAACAACAAGAGGGAACTCAGGAAATGAGAGTGTCAGACATACAAGGACGTACAGAACGCTGTCAAATGACAGTAAAAACAGGGTTCCACAAATGCATCGAATACGCAGATTCATTTGCGAAAAATATAATTACCGACAGCGCCGCTTCTTTTCTCTCGATGCCGCCAGCAATTACACTACGCGCCGAATCACCTCCATACGCAAAATGAAATCAAGAATGTACAGCAGCCGATTGGTGGGACCCCTCTATTAAATAGAAATACAGATATTTTTCCCTTAGACTGGAAGCTTCTATATAACTATACGTCTCGTTGCTCCTGTGCGCCGCCCCGGCTCCAACGGTTGTGTAGTGAAACGTGAAACAATCTGTGCATTCCCCTTTCGCGCCGGTAGGTGTCGTTCCGGCACCATCTGCAGCTTCCCTAACCGCACTCCTGCGAGACGAAAGTCATCAAACGATGTGAGGTGTGGCTGTAAGAGCTTTTGTGTCTCACGCCACAGAAGAGTCATGTCATTCGTGGCTGAATCCAACGTCACGCTGTACTGGTGGTCCTCAAAGGAGCGCCGCTTTAAGCGCAGTGTAATGCGGCGAGCCGCCTTGCGCTGACGCAGCAGTGCGTCGTGAGCCAGTGCAAGTGCCTTCAGTACAACATGCTTCAACTCCGCTTCATTCTTCAATCGACGTCTAACGGTAACCTCGTGACCGACCGTCTTTTGCGCACGGTCCGCCCGCATACGGTCCGCACCGCTCTGCATTACGCCGAGCGCGGCCGACAGGTAAAACTCGAACGTCTTACCCGGGAACACATAACACAGTTTGTACTTCTGCCGATGAATCGCGCCGCAGGTGCGTATACCGAGTGAGGCCAGCATGCTGTTTTGAACAGGCCCAATTCCCGGGATCTCACGCACCGGCAGGTCCTTCATGAAGGCGATCACGTCCTCGCGTGTCCGCAGGCGCAGTTCGTGCTGGCCGTTCGGCTTCTTGTAGTTAGACGCGATCTTCGATAGCGTCGCAGTCGGGGCGATGCCGGCGCTCGCCGTCAACTGCGTCTCGGCCACCACACGCGCGCGGAACTCCGCCGCAACGTCTGCTGCCGTCATGCCAGGGTTCTGCTGCAGGTGCGCGCTCACCTCCATCGTCAGCTCGTCGAGGCCAACGCTTATGAAGTGCGGGTCGTACTCGGCGGCGATGCCGCGCACCACCGCCGCCTCCGCACGGTACGCGTCGAAGTCGGTCGGCACAATGACGAGTGCCGGACACAACTTCCTGCCGATGAAGCCCGGCATCCCGGAGCGCACGCCGTAGCGCCGCGCAACGTAGTTCGTCGTAGACAGCATCGCAACGCTGCCGACGCCGAGCGGCACCTCCGCCAGCGACGGGTTCTTCTTCATCTCCACCGCGGCGTAGAACATGTCCATGTCCACGTGCACGTAATTACCAAACCGCCTCCCAGCCTCCAGCTCCGCCTCGCATGCCGACACTGTTTTCATCAACGACTGTCTTGCGGATGCTGAGAGAAGACGGTATTTTTTGGATTTGGTGCACAAACTTGCGTTGCGCTTCTCTCGCTGCGACTCCATGCGCTTTTCATTCATGTAAAACGCTGATCCCTTGGTGCACTTTTCGATCACTGCGTTCACATGCGCCTTGTTCACGCCGGCAAGCCCCGCCTTGGAGACGTCCAACTGCATCTTGCCTGTCGCCGCGCTACGCCGTGCTTTCCGCAACGTGCACCCGCAGAGCGTCGCCGCAGCAAGTCGCGTCAGCCGGCACCGCATCACGCATCCAAAATGGGGTCCACAGCGTGCCTAACACTCCCACTTTCGTGTCAGTGGCAGACCTGTGTTCCGTGTGGGGTTTAAAAACCCGGGGAAGTGCTGCAGGACTACGGAGGGCTGCAGGCAACACCCCACCCTCCCTTTTCCTTGCGTCACTGCGGCAGAAAGACAATAAAAACACGGCAGTCGTGTGGGAAGGAAGAGGGTGCTTGGTATGGCGACGTAAAAGAAAAAAAACAAGGCGCAGAGGCTCACTGCATGAGCAGCACAGCACATCGCTCATTCATCGATACAGAAGAAAGCAAATACCGCCCTCATCTCCTTTCTTCACACGCACAGAAACCAAAACACAATCAAAGCGGCGCGTTGTGGTCAACACGGGAAAAGTGTTCACAGGCGCGTGCAGCACATCCTCGCCTCCCCCCTGCGCGCACCACAACGAGCGCAGGGCACACCAGAGGCACCATTGAAGGTGCGGGGATAAGCGTCCGCGCGCCCTGTCGCACCATCACCTGTGCGTACAGCGTGGGCTGGCCGTTGTTCCTGTTGGTGTCGCTGTGGTCGGCGACAGCGTGCTCCCCAGCGCTGCCTGGTCTCACTTCGGGCCGGGCGCCGCATCCGCACAGAGGCGTGCAGGGCAGCTCTCAGTCACCACACGCCGCGCTGCCTCGTCGAGAGCGCCCACGAGCGCCGCGTGCAGCTGATCGAAGCACGCCTCCGTCGTGCTGCCCGTGTCCGTCTGTGGCGCCGGATTCACGCCGTCGTCCCCTGCACGCGCCAGGTGTTCCAGCAGCGTTGTGCCCTCTTCATCGTCCTCCACCCCTCCTTCTAGTCGCTGATGGTGCTGCTGTTTTCTCGTTGTTTTTGTTGGAGTAAATACACTCGACTCGATGCGATTGAGGGCGTTACGAAGAAATATGACTTCCTGCGACTGTTTCCGCAGCATGCTCTCAAGCACAGAGCACTTCACACGCGCCGTCAGTGCTGCTTCTCTCTCCTGAGTGCACTCTGCCCGTCACGCGACCATTGACAAGGGGATTTCGAATCAGGATATCTATGACAAGGTGGCCCATGTATTTGGGCGAACCTGAAATCGTTTTGGATTCCGCAGGGGTCGACAGTTCAGAGGGTATCCGAGGAGACGAGCCTCATTTTCACGTGGACACAGGCTCCGAAGTGGGGGCTTTCGAAGACGATCATTATCGCGGTCACCGTCTCCGCGCCGAAGAGGATAATCATCAACGGGAAACTGGAGAAGGGGCACCCACGGCTCTTCCCCAGCAACGCGCAGCCAAAGGTCCCAATGAAAATACAAAAAAAAAAAACAACGACCAAAAATGAATAAGACACCTGAAAAGATTTTGGACCCTAAAAAATTGAAATTTAAACGAAAAATACAACTGAACCAAAACTCATAATTTCTGCTGGCGCGCAATAAAGGCAAGAGAATCTTAATTACCCACCATTACGGCACGCACGGCCGACACAAATGCATATGGGGCTATACGCCAATGAATTACATCTGGGCAATGAATCCGCCACGGCGCTGGAGATGTCTTAAAGGTTGGAGCTCAACTGATAACTGAAAAAAGGACGATACCATCTTGTCCAATTGAGTCGTTTTGGTTCTTGATATCGACTCTCTGGGGGGTTTTGTACCTGAATTCGTTGTACGCGGCCATTGCCCAATCGTTGTAATACTCAGCGAATGCTCTCTCAAAAAACAAAAAACACCAGAGTCCTGGCTGTCACTATCTTGGTGTTGGTTACGCACTCTGATCGAGACTTATTGGAATGTCGTTGTATACCAAGGCTCTTTTGCTGAATGGCAGATAATACCGCCCAATGTTACGCCCAATGATGTAGCTTGTGTGTAATAAACGTCAAGGATGATGCAACAACAGCCTCTCGGCCCTGCTCCTCAATAGCAAAGAGCTCCTTTCACTTCTTAAAACAATAAATGGAGTATTGCGGTAAAGACGCTGCGGTTCCCAACAATACTATCGCAAATCCAAATTGTTCCGTGGTGTATCTGTAACATTCGTATATTTCCTTGATATCGTTCTGAATTTCTTGTCTATCCTCAATTTCGTGTTGGATCGTCCTGGATGTCTCCAATAATCTCTGTACAACCAAGCGTTCATCTTTCTGAGTCTGGATAAATGTTTCTCGGCATACTAGTTTTTGTCGTTGATATACTTTCCGAATACGTTGGTCAATTCTGATCTTGGACATTTTAATCCCTCGATATGCAAGTCAAGCTTCGTCAATGTAATCCTTTAAGGTGGGATTTTCCTTATCTTGCCAATCTGAGGTCTGTATTTCGCCCTCAGATACAGTTTCTTCTTGAATACTTTCTGGTGTGGATGCTTCCAAACTCGATGGTCATTCGTCACTCTCGAATTCACTCGGGTTTTCTACAACTATGGGTACTCCACCTGAAGAAGGTTGTTGCGCCGCTGTTTCGGTTCTCGGTGTCGTCGGCGGTTTCCCGATATCATTGTTGTGTTCTTGAACAGCTCGACGTACCTCTTAGACCTCCTCAGAAGTGGCTACTAATCTCCTCTGTTGATTGAGGTTGGTCACGTTCAATTGGCGTATGTTTTATCCTTGTTCTTCGGCCCTTTTCTGCCGGTGCCTCCGCTGCCCTTCTGCTGCTCCCTGGCACTTTTGTTCCTCAGTCCAATATTTGACGACTGGCGTTTTGACGAAGGGTCTCCTTGTTGCTTCTTCTGAAGGATATGTAATCGCATCTGTTCGTGGGTCTTCAATATCATTTCTAGTGTGTGAACTTCAAATTGTAAAAATCGACGCTCACATAGCACTAGAGTATTATCTTCGGACGTGGCTTCTGCCTTTTTATTAGCAAGTGAAAATCCCGTAGCCTCAACGCGTCTGGAATACTGACAGTTCTATTTCCCAGGGTAATCAAAAACAAGAAAAAAGCCTATTCATCCAAAACAACTTATATCCGAAACCCTCATATGTGAGTAGATGTTTTATTTGTATCCTAACTTAGGAGGCAGATCGACCGGAGAATCGGGTGTCCTAAAGGTAGATAGATAAACAAGAGGAGATAGTGACATGCAAATAACATGAGGCAACCATGAGCTCATTCGTCACAGGATCAGCACGAGATAGTTTATCTCACATGTATATGCCTTCCACCATAACCATAGATATATAGATGAGTTAAGATCGGCGACGCGGGGTGCGCGTAGGCAGCGCACGCGGACCACATGTGAGGATGTCACCCATAACTCGGACGCACAGACATCCATCACCTAAAGTCATTCGCGACTAAAGCACACGTGACTCCCTTTCTCGCCTCTCTTCGATAAACTATTCGAGGCTCCCATGCCGCCTCAATTATTACCCATCCAGCTAGTACCTATTGGCTTCCTTTTGACCCATCCTTTGCAACTCCCAAACCAATTCTTGTGCCTTGCCATAACCGTAGAAACTACTTCCTGCGTTTTGCGATTGACATCATTTTTAACGTCCCAATGATCCAGAAGAGGCAACCCAAACGTACGTTAGGAGATATTGGCCGGGTTCAGCTTTGCATTGACGTACACATAGTTTGTGCTGAATTGGCTTTCCCGGCACAAAGTCGTAAGAACATACGCGGCATTCCATAACATATCCGACTTTATGAGACCCTTCGTCATGATGCTTTGTACGTTCGTATTACCTACGCAGATGGCTGTATTGGCTTCTCCAGGTAGGTGTTGGCGGGATGCATTGAGTCCATTTAAAACTAATCTTAGTTCTCCAATCGCAATTTATTTAATTGGAGCCGTCCATCGCTGGACCGTGATCAGTAAACGCTGCGAATCTCCCATAATGAGGAGAGCTCCCCAACTTTCCATTGATGCATCGGCAATTAGGATTCGCCGTGGCGTGGGTGAGGCGCCGAACCGCTTTTGATGCGTTTTTTTTTTAAATGTAGAGGACAGACAGGTTGATTTTTGCGTACTGCAGAAAGGCAATTAAAACAGTTACATGCGATCACTCTGTCGACGTGGACTACGTCTTCATCTCATACCTCTTGCCAGCTCAGTGACGAGAGAAGGCAGTGAGCCTTTTTTGAAAGTCGGATACGATTGGAATACCGAAATCTGCAAAATGGCGGAATTATTGCAGCAAACGTGCCACCAACTGTTCCATTTCGGCCACCGTTGCCTTATACATCATCCACTTGAGCCATTCACTCATGGAGTGCGTAGAACCACGTTCTGTCCCTGGCAAACAGCTCTTCCTCACATTCTTCTGGGCCATCCATACCACACGATTCACATGGTCGAAGTGAGTCCCCAGAAATTTATAAATCTCTGTCGTAATACTCAAATCATCCTTACCTAGAGTAACATTCCATTGTTTCCACCCGCCCAACGTCTCAGCCGAGCGTTTCAAAGCATTCTTTCCGCTGCCAGTAATGTGAATGTTGTCTAGCCAACAATGGGAGGTAATATTGACCTTTTTACGATTGTAGGTTCAAATGAGTCTAAAGAATCACTGGATCAACAATAAGGGCTCGTGTGACCACTTGTATGATCCCTGGACTCGTTGACAATCCCATTGGCAGTCGTATCATCTCCACTAAACGACCACCTCCTGTTCGGCAGCGCATATTCGCAGCAAATTTATCACTCAAGGGAATCTGATAGAACGCCGCTTTCAAAACAATAATAGTCGCAACTCAATCGAAAACTGCATCCAAACATTAAGAAATATGCCACAACGATGCATCAGGAGTATAAATTCCTAGATGAAGCAATTTCCATTTTAGCGCTTCCGGCCATGCAATAAAACGACGTCTCCATCCTGTTGCCCTCTCTTCCCGGACTGAAAAAGGACGAAACCAACCCCGTAGTTAGATCTCGTTTTTCATCTGCGCAGTATACGAACCGCATGATGCCTGATTCAGCCATTTGCTTTGCTTCCTTTAAATTCATTCGCAGTCCAGACCTTTCATTTTTCTCCCTCATCTTGTAATGAGGGTCTTGGTAACGTGCCACCAGGTATTTCCGGGTACGGGTTGGTTCTTCCATAACGTTCCACATTCTATCCCATTTCAGCTTGGCTTCCTGTGGAAGTGCTGGTAGAATATTGTTTAGAGTTATTACCTCGATATTTACCTGCTGAAGAGAAAAAGTTTTTTTTTTCTTATCTGCGCTGCCTCCAGGTTCGACATAGCAGTCTGCTTTAGATCTGACCGGCTCTGGAGGTTGAGAAAGGTGCGCTCCTGACCGATCGA